TCTGTTTTTGACCACCATGTCATCTATATAAGCCTCCATTGTTCTGCCTAACAATGGTTCAAACATTTTGGTGACCATCCGTTAGAATGTAGCCCCTGCGTTCTTTAGGCCGAAGGGCATGACCTTGTAACAATATAGTCCTCCGGGTGTTGTGAATAACGTGACCTCCTGGTCCGGTTCGTACATAGCGATCTGATGGTAACCCTGATACGCATCAAGGAAGCTAAGTCGGTTATGCCTTGTTGTTAGGTCCACCAGTTGGTCTATCCGTGGTAGGGTAAAACTGTCTTTTGGGCATGCTTTGTTAACTGTTTTGTAGTCCACGCAAATGCGCCATTTGCCATTCTTTTTTGACATTACTACAGTGTTAGAGATCCACCTAGGATAGTGTACTTCTTTGATTACTCCTGCTCCAGTAGGTTTCCCACTTCCTCTGCCACTATCTCTGTGTGGTGGAGTGCCGATCGGCGAGTTCGCTGTATAATCAGTCTGGCAGTTGGATAGACATTAAGTTGATGGCAGATGAAATTAGGGTTAATGCCAGGCATGTCGTATGGTGTCCAGGAAAACACTTTGATGTTAGAGGTTAAAAATTCCATGACCTCTATTCTCTTAGTGCTGGACAAAGACGAGCCAAGCAAAAAGAACTTTTACGGGTTTTTTTCATCTATCCTTACCTTTGCCAAGTCTTCCACCACCTTCTGTTCGGCTTCTTTGCCGACATCTACGAACAGTTCATTGCTTTATGGCTCCTCTACCATCTGTACAAACCCTTTTGCAGCACGGCTGCCGTTTACCGTGACGAAGCACTATTTCGACATGATTTGGTCTCCTAAGACTTCTTCGATCACTCCGGTTTCATTGGGGAACCGTAATGCCTGATGGTAGATTGATGCTACCGAACGTATGGCATGCAACCATGCTCTTCCCAAGATTATGTTGTAAGTGGAAGAAAGCTTCAATACCCAAAATTTCACTTGTTTTGCCATTGGTCCTACCTTGACTGGCAGAATTATCTTGCCTATTGGCTATTCTGGCGTTGAGTTGAAACCGATGAGGGGAGATTTCGCTGGGGCTAAGTCTTTGTCCTCCAATTTTAGCTGCTTAAAGGTCTCGTAGTACATTATCTCGCACGAGTTTCCTTGGTCAATCAGAATCCGTTTGATGTCAAAATTCTTGACACGCAAAGTGACCACCAGTGCGTCATTGTGAGGGCAGTGTAGCCTTGCTAGATCCCTGTCGGAAAAAGATAAGACGTTCGTTGCCTCTATCTTTCCCCTTTTTAAGGTAGGCTGTGCACTTAGTACCTCTCTCAAGTGCTTATCCTTTTTGATTATCCCTCTGAGCTCACATACCCTCTCAGGTTCGATGATCCCATGTATAACATTGATTACGCCTTGGGGTGGACAGTCGACCGGCATCCCACTCGACCTGCTGTGATCTTGGGGGGCTGGTTGTGTTCCCCCTTCTATATACTGGTCTAGGTGGCCAGGGGCCACTAACTCCTCTAGATGTTGCCTCAATGGTGTACAATTTTTAATTCGGTGCCCTTTTTCATCATGGAATGTACAACGGTACCTCTCATCGTAGCCTCTTTGTGCTTCTCCCAATTTAGATGGCCACCGAACGAAGGGTTCATCGTGTATCTTGCTTAGAATCCGGTAGATAGGTTTGTTGAATACTGTGGTAATGGCAATGCGGACTCTTAACTTCCTTGTTTGGGCGTCCTCTCTGTTGGCTCGTCTGCCTCGCCCATTCTTGCTTGGTTGTTCTACTGTGTTGACCTTTGCTGTAGTCTTTTTATCCGGCAACACTGTTGTGCCAGATTTTTCTTTAGCACGGGCGCTATCTTCCTCTACCTGGATATGTTGATGCACTTTCTCCATTAGGGCCTCCATCGTGAGGGGTGGCATCATCGTCATTGAATCTCTCAACTTGTTACCAACCAGCAAACCCCGTTTGTACTGCGTGATGGTGAGATTTGTGGGCAATCCCCAATCTGGTTGAAAGTTTCCCAATATCGACTGTTGTAAGACCTCAATGTTTCCTTCTCACCCATGTCAATGGACAGCAGCTGGTCGATCTCCACAAGTGTCTTGGTATTCGTTCTAAATCTAGTCACAAATGCCTCTGCCAGCTGCGCCCATGAGGCTATGCTGCCTTCTGGCAATCTTTCAAATCATGTTAGACTCAGGTCACCAAGGCTGGAAGGGAACAAGATACACATTAGAGCCTCGTTTCACCGATATATATCCTTAACTTGGCGAAAGTGGTTTAACTGCATGTAGGGGTCTGACTTCCCCTCATAAGTAATGAATTTGGGCTGGTGGAAGCCTGAGGATAGCGGTGCGTTCTCAATTGCCGGAACGAACGGTGAGCTCTGTAACCTTACTAATACCTTATCTGCTGGTTCGTAAGCAAGGCGTGGCATTGGCATCCCTACCTCGACACTCCCATGTGTCTTAAGGGCCAATCGCTGTAGGGCTGAAACTCTATGAGGGTCACGAGCCCTGGTGTCCTCTTTCTATCGGGCCCTCTCCTCTAGCACCGTTCGTAGGTCTGCTGACCTAGGCAGCTCCTTGTGCCTAGATGTCGTTTGGTGCGTGTGCGAGGGCCGATAACTGTTTCCCTCCATATATGATCTTTCAGTCCTCGTTCTCTCAGACCTAGAGTAACGAGTCTTGGAAGTCCTTGATTGAGTGTCGCCTGTTCTGAGACTTCTACTTTCAGCTTGTGATGGTATGACTTGTCTGTCACGATCTTCCGAGTGGTTAGAGAGCGTGTTGCCTCTGCGCCTCTCTTCCATTGCCACTTATTTGCCTTTCATTTGGCACTTCATAGTTTCCATGTCAGCCGCCATTATTCTTATTACTTCATCTTGCTCCCTCACGCGATCCTCCAGAGCCTGAGGAACCAACCTCCACCTCTGCCTTTCAAGACTTCGAGAGCGACGATGACTGAAGTCCCGTCTCCCCTGTGTGTCCCTTTGGGAGTTCCGTCGCTGGGGGTTTAACTTTGCTATGAGTGGGATAAAAGGTAAGCTTTCACATCTCCCACCCTCATCTGGCGTTTGCCCATCAATAGCGGATTGCGGCAAATCCTCATTGTGCGCCATTAATTTTAACTAAAGAGGAAAACTTGATTCAAAAGGTCTTGTTCTTCGTGCTATTCCCACAGATGGCGCCAATTGTATGAGCACGAAATAATCTTCTCGTATAATCATGTTGATCAAGTTTGCACTCCTCCAAACGTCGTCGCTTTACTTCCTGAAAACACAAACGTGAGCTAGCCGACGGGTGTGTACCGGATACCTCTCCAATGCCTAAGTCAGCAAATAGACAATAGACAAAAAGCTCTGTGTTTTTATGAGTAGAAATTGTAATACCTGTACATAGGTCCTGTCATGAGTTTTTATATATTCCGCCTGGCATAATCCTAGTAGGACTTTAACTCCCTTTAATAGAGTCCTCCTAGGAATCAAAAAGATAATGCTTATCTTTTTACACTCTCCTCACTGCTTAACCAAGTGAGATGGTTCAACCACAGTCTGGTAGCAGCACAACCAAACTAGCACTGCCTTGCCTTACCTCGGCTGGCACAAGTCATAATCGTGCTCACACAGTTGGATGCTAATTGAGTCAACTCGGTCACCTAGTCTTTGGAATGACCACCTGCCGAGCTATCTTTTAACTCGGTCTGATTCCCACTGATACCTTGGTCTTCGACCGCTAGACCAAACCACTGGCAACCCACCTCCGACTGGACTGACGCGACCAAAGACCAAGGCTACCGAGATAATTACTTCGGTTCGTGGTTTAGCCCAGACTATATCTATCTCGGTCCATTCCAACGCTTTATTTAGTTCGGCCCAATTTAAGCATTAATTACCCTCTAAGTATGCACTTCAATGACTTGAGATCACCAGAGGTGGAAGAGGAGAAGACCAAGGCAAGCTTAGAGAGGGAAGAGGTGGCAGTGAGAGACCTTGAACAGTTAATGTATGTTATATGATTCTTGTCGCTCTTGCCGTGTTTGTGGCTGCACTTATGATGCCGTTATATAGACTCCGGGAGTGTTGGAGCCCAAGCAACCTCAAGATAGGTGGCAAGTTCTCCTTAACTCGACAGGAGGGTGATATCAGCCCTACTAGCTGTGTCCTATGATTCAAGTCCTCGGGAAGGTTGCATCATAGGAACTGCAGGGGTAGGTATGATATCTTGAGAGGCGTATCATATGTGCATCATATGTAAGGTCAACGTCTCTTTCTCTAAGCCAAGTCAAAGGGGGAGCTATCACTGCAGAGAGATAGCTACACGACCTTGACGATCCCAAGGTCTTAGCCTCTAATCCACAATCCTCTAATGATCCCAATCGGGAGTGCCTACGTCCTGCTCCCAACCTAGGCAGCCAAGTGGGTGAGTGCATGGGTGAGCCAAGGGCTCATCCTAAGCAGCTTAAGTAAACATGAGAGAGTCGAACATAGGTGAGCCAAGAGTCCAACTATGTTGCAGTGAGCTGGGGTGAGTGGGTAAAGAATATATTTCTTAAGTTATGAAGGGCCATGAAGAGCTCTAAGTGAGCCAGCTCTATATGGCCTTGTTTCATACATGGTGGTGTGCATGCCCCCGCTTAGGCTGGGCATACAATCCCAACTCATCGTGGTGCCTCAAGGGTCTACCACGTGGATGTGTGATGGTGATGACATACTCATCGTGTTGCCTTAGGGGTTTGCCACATGGATGTGTAGTGGTGCTGACGTGAAGCCCATAGGGCTCGCTACGTGCCAAGTATAATATAGATACCCACAGAGATTAATCTATAAAACAAGGTCCCATTGAGTTGAGCCTTGTATTTGGCTTGTTTGACTTCAGTTGCTATCATTTATCCAAGTTAGTGAAGTACTCTAGTGGGATTGTTAACAATATCTTTGGAAAAGTACCAACTTTGATGTGAATCACGAATTTGAAAAGAGATTTGGAAAGGGGGAAAAAAAAAAAAAATGTAAGAGAAATGTGAATGGAACATAAGCTAATTTTTTTTCTTCATTTCCCTTGCATTTTCCTTTCCTTTGCTTTCCTTTTCCAAATTCCTATCCAAATATATGATCCAAACACAGCCTTAGAATTTAAAAATACGAACTTGGATTTCAGCTGCCTCCTGAGATGTATCAGCATCCTTGCCCCGCAGTTTCTGTAATGCAGCTTCAAACTCTTTTCGTTGCCCCACCTTTGCCTGCATTATCAATAAACACCTTTCTCTGAAACGGTACCATGATAATACCTGATAAATTTAAAGAAGAATTTACTCTTAATTTCTTACCAACCATCTCGGAGACTCTGGGATGAAAAAGAGACCAAAAATCAGAATGGCACATGGAATTAGTCCTGCAAGCACTTCACGAGTGAGTCCCTTGGCTTATTAACACTCACTCTAATTTTCTTCTCTCACTTTCTCTCTCTCTCTCTTAATTTATATATATATGGAAACTGAATGCATGTTTTGGTACGTGTTGACAATTTCACCTGTTAATGCTAAAGCTCTCCACGACAGCACTGTCCCAATAATGAAGGAAACAGAGACACCACATACAATCATGAGCTGCAGAGTAAGTAGGAAAAAATCAGATTTGATTTTTCACTTTTTTTTCTTGCATTTATTGATGTGGTTGCTTGTGATTTTACCTGATTTAGGGTAGTCAATGCTCCTCGCAGATTCTTGGGTGCTATTTCAGCTATAAATACAGGTACCTTGTTATCCCATAATGATCATAACATTAGTGTCAAGCTTGTTAGAAAATGGTTTTGTAACCTTGGGTTTTGGCTACGTTGGAGCCAAAATAAAGATCGGACCCACATGCCTTTTCCATTTTATTTTTTTTGGATACAGTTTTCATTTCTGTACTGTTTCATTATTGTGTTTCTGTTTTGTTTCTGTTCCAAGTGTAACACACACTAACAAGATCACAACACTGTCTGCTTTTTCCAAAACAGTTTACAAGGAAAGAAAGGAAAGAGAAAGTACCACATAGGAAAAGACTCCCATTCCATATCCTGTTGCTACTCTTCCAATGTCCAGAGCTAAAGACCCCTTTTTTGTAATAATGAAAGCACAGATATTAGGTCACTGTGCTATGTAAAACACACACACTTAGGAGGTTAGGAAGAAAATTACTCAAAAAAGAGTAAGATGACACAAACCTTAGCAAAGTAAATGGCTAGCCAGCCAGCAACACAGAAAGCGCTTGATGTTCTCATTGCCTGCTTGCATTTCACATATGACAAATCATTACTTTTGGGTGTTTCCAAAGAAGCACGAAGTCCTAGATGATGGGGGTGTTTGGTGGAGCTTTTTTGAGCCAACTTATGGCTTCTGGCTCTTAGAAAGTTCAATGTGATGGAGGATAAAAACACTTACACGGTATAGGTTCTTCATTTTTGTACTTTATTTAGGGAGTAAATTATATATCTAGAATTCTTTTAAAGTACTTGGAGTGTTCTCTTCTTTGTTATTGAACATTGCATTGTGTTTTCATGTTGATAGTTGCCCTACTTCTACCACATTGACGTCATAATCTATTTTTCTAGTTCGGTGTATAATTGCTCTCTAGTTCTCCATTGAAGTGACTTTCAAATTAGATGCATCTTTGAAACTAGAATGCTTGAAGATTCTGCTGTTATTTTCTCCTAACAATTCAAATTTGTTAGATTATTTGTATGTTAACTCTTTCAATGTTCTACTGTCGACTGAGATGATTGTGTAGGTATGTATGAACGCTCTCTCTAAGGGTGGAAAGGATCTTGGGAATGACACTATGGAAGTGGTATCTCCTTTAACCTGGTAGTTCTGTATCCTTCAAGTACTTTAGCTCTTATTTTTGATGGGGTGGGAAAAAGCTTATTATTTTTTTCTTAGGATGGATGTTGCTTTTATTCTGTTAGAACTCTTGATGGAAAAACAATCGAAGCTGACTCTTTTGACCTTTTCTCACAGAAAGAGATTTCATCTTCATGTCAGCTCTCTGTCAGGCTTTCACATACTCTAGCAATTGCCAATAACATTGTATGGCACTATTAAATTAGTAAATTGGTATATACTTTCTATAATAATTTGCTAATATAACTAGAAGCTAGTACTATACCATACATACATTGCCTGAGTTGTAAATCTTATGATATTTTTAGTAGTCATGGAAGTAGTGTTTTCGTTTATGCTATTTTCCTATCTATGAATCCAATTGTTAGAAAGATATGCTAGCCACTTAGTTAGGCAAATTTTTATAGTAGATGGAGCTTTGTGATTTAAAGTTGCTAGATGTAGAGAGGGAGTGTATTACTTTACATCAAAATCCTTTCAAAGTACATGGGAAGGATGTCATTAGTGGTGTTGGGGAGTTGATTCCAACTAATATTTAAGCATGAATATTGAGGATGAAAGAGTTATCCATATCTGAATGTCTTAATGGTTTGTTTGAAGATTCCTACCCATTTTCCTCTAGAAACATTGCAACAAAAGGGTAGCTTCATTTGAGGTATGAAAAAAAGAGTTTTGCTTCATGTGGATTTTATTTGCATACACGTTAAGACTATTGAGATCTTGAATTTTTTCTAATTTTCATTATGACATTGCTTTTATGGGGTCATTGAATTATCTTATTAATTTTGGAAATATTTTGTTGATGTTTTAAAATTTCTTGATCATTTTTTGATACCTCAAGAAATATTTTTGTCCCTGAGTTGTTGGTTTTTGTACTTGTGTGAAGTTTCCTTTGTCATGCAGACAAGAAATGCAATAGGGTTAGTTGCCCCAGCTATTGCCGCGGGTTTGGGTGCCTTAACACATACATTTGACACCTCGCCCCTGTGATAGGAGTAAATAGATTTGCTACAGCTGCAGGTGCAATTGCTATAGGAACTGTTATCGGTAGTTTTAGATAATCTCTTAATAGTTGTCGATATGTTTAGAAAGTTAGATATGCATAGTTTTGGATGGTTTAAACTTTTTGTACAATTTAGAACTTAAGGATATAGTTTTTGAATGTTTGGAATGTATAGACAATTGTTAAATGTTTATAATTTATGGATATAGTTTCTTTTTTATGTTTCAAACAATATTTTGGTAGTTGATTGATGTTTTGTGATGTTTGTTTGTAATATTTGTTAGATTGTACAAAATTGGTCAAATAGAACCTACTGAATTTAAAAAAAAAAAAAAACTGCATATTCTACGGCAGGCATAATAAGTCGTTGTATTATATATTTTATGGCGCACAATCAGCATCGTTATTTGTCTCACCAATTAACGGTGTGCAAAAGTAGTCGTAGAAAAAGAAACGACATACAAAATCTGCCATTAAATAGTTTTTAACGGCTTACTATAGTATGTCGTAGAAAAAATAACGACGACGCACAAAATCTGCCGTTAAATAGTTTTTAACGACGTACGAAGCATGTCGTTGAAAGTAAATGACTTTTCATGACTGGTCATAATATGACGCGCGCTACATGTCGTAAAAGGGTTTTTACGACGTGCATTGCGTGCCGTAAAAACCCTTTTTTGTTGTAGTGCGCGAACTTCTCCAAAATTTACGCTGCCCATCTTTAACCCATTTTCGATGGTATAAAGATGTTTTCGTTCTGAAAGTTGTCCAGCATCCTGACGCTAACAGTGAACACTGGAAAGCCAAATTTATTGATGGCCTTCCTACCTTTTTTGCTGAAAAAGTTCGCAAAAAACTTAGGGATCGCCATGATCGTATGACTATACCCTATGACCAGTACACTTATGGCTAGCTTATTGCTGTAGTCATTGATGAAGGTCTTTCATTATGCAATGACCTTAAATTACAATATCAACTTAAAAAACACACATCTTACCGGAAAGAAAGAATTAGGTGAATTTGTGATCAATTTGCCTATGATACAAAAGTCTAATATCCTTCTAAATCCAGGAAATCCCATTAGAAGAAATTTACCAAACAATATCATAAGCAGTATAAAAACCTAGTCATACTTCTTACCAGAAAAATTTTTCTCCTCCTAACAGAAAGCCAAAACTCACTAAGAAAACCACTAAAAAAGATGTTAAATGTTATAAGTGTGGGGCAACCAGACATTATGCTAATAGATGTGGGTCCAAGTTAAAAACTAAAATTCATGAGCTATCCTTGGATCCTCATATAACTCAACAGATACTTCAAACGCTTAAAGAAGAAGAAGAATTAGAAATCGGCTCTAAGTCTGATGGACTTGCTGAGATTTACTCTCCATCAACCTCTAGTGAAGAAGCTGAAAAACCAGAACCAACCTATTCCTATTCCATGAACCTGAATCAGATTTCTGAAATTAATTATTGGAAATCTATTGTTGAAATGAATGGCTTGGACCTTGGAGGTCCTAGTATTCATGTTTTAACTGATGATCATAAATCCATGATAGATCTTGCTGATGAAATCAAAGATCCAGAGATGAAAATCAAATTTTTAGAAATTTGTTATCAACACCAGTAAGCTATCAAAGAACCCCCATTAATTCCAGTAGATTCTTATAGTATGAAAGATGTTTTAAACATAATCCAATCTTCATCCACTACTGAAAAACCAGTAACAATTCAAGATTTAAAAATGGAAATTAATGTACTTAAAACAGAAGTTAAGCATTTCCAAACCGCTAATCAGTCTGTCATTAATGACATTGAAAAGATTAACAGTCAACTAAAAAATAAAAGACAATCATCCTCGTCTAATCAGAATGAAAAACCAGAAAACGAAACGAATGAAAAACCAGAAAATCAATATTTGATGCTTATGAATCAAATTACTTTTCAGAAATGGTATATCAGAATTACTTTCATAATAAAAGTCGATTTTATTGTAAAAGATGCTATCGCCTTAGTAGATAGTGGAGCTGATATGAATTATATCCAAGAAGGATTAATTCCAACCCAATATTTCCACAAAACTACTCAATCTTTAACCAGTGCAAGTGGAACTTCTATGAAAATCAGATATAAAATTCCAGAACATTAATCTATAATCAAGGTATTTGTCTTCCAACTGCTTTTGTTCTTATCAAAAACATGTCTCAAAATATTATTTTAAGGACACCATTCTTATGTTTACTTATGCCTATCACAAAGATAGACTCCATAGGTATCTATAGACACCCCATTTTTGACCGTCCTCAAGACTTGGACGTCATCGTTTGAACACTCGATGATTATCCATGTTTGTGTTCGTCCTGAGTTCTCGGAGGTCTCGGCCACGCGCCTTGCCTCAAGACCTCTCGACTTGCCTGTTTTGTGTTTGGTTTTGCACCAAACACTTGTTGTTTTGCTTCTGAGGCCAGGGAATGGCTTGTTGGCCATCCCCACACCTCACCGGCCATTGGTGATGGCTGGCCGGCACCCTTTATGGTCGACTGACCATTGTTTTGGTCAAATTGTCATTTTTGACTGGCCGACCACTGTGCATCTGCTTTTGACAGATATTTTATGCTAGTTGTGATAGCTGGCATCCACTTTGCATCCCCTCCATACACGTGTATGGAGGGATTTCCCTCTTGCTTAGCTTGTTTTGTAAGATTTACAAGAGTGAACCTCTATAAAGGGAGGGCTTCTCCTCCCTCCTCAAGGTTTAGAGGTTGAGCTCCAGAGGTCTGGATTAGGGTTAGAAATAGTGTATCTATCTATCTCTATATCTCCCTCTCTCTTTGCCTTTGTGTGTGTTTAAGTGTGTTTTGTTCTTACTTTTGTGCATAAACACCTAGTATCACACCTTACCTTGGTTGTTGAAGTGCCAAAGGGTTGTTGTTAAGGTTTTTGACTGGATTTAAGCTTGGAAAGGCTGTTGGAGCCTTGTTCTTGAAGGTGGTCTACAAGGGTGAGATTCTTGCTCTTTATTTCCCATTTTTGCATAAGCCTTTTGCCTATCTTGCATCTATTTTTTAGCTTAGTCTATAACTGATAAAAGTTTTGATTTTACTTGCTTAAAATAGTTGTTTAAGCTTGCTTTGGTGTTTGGGGTTGTTTGACCCCTCTTAGGCCTTGTTTGGCCTCATTTTTGTGCATTTTTGGTGAGCTTTGGGACCACTTTGTTTTGGCCTCCTCACCACTGAAATCCAGAGGGATTTCAGTGGTGAGCATGGTGCTTTAAGGTCCTAGGAAGGAGAGAGCCATCCCCTCCCCTTGTTACCTTCAAAACTTGTCATTTTAGCCTCATGTGTGAGCACCTCTCTTAAGTTCATGTTGGCCATGTCTTAGGTA